GAGAGAGAGAGGGGTCCTTGGGAAAGGTAAGCCATTAAAATGGTATTTGAAGATGTTTGCTCCGTAAATTTCACTTGACTCAGGGCTGAAGTGATTCATCTCTGTTCTCCTGCTCTAATGGCTGTCTGTGATGCTCGGCAAGAGTGATGGGTGAAATTCTATCAATCAAGCATCCAATTTATGGTTGTCTTGGAGAATGGCAGGCGGTTTCGAAAGCGCTAAACTCTCTTTCCGTGGCAGTTCATATCGAAATGGGGGAGTGCAAGTAAAGTGCCGTGCCTCTCCGATTTGTATTAAAAACACAGTGATCTATTGTTGTCTCAAGTTCCCAGACATCCTCTTTGACTTTTGGAACAGAAGGTATTATAGGCAGAAACAGCCTGCATGTTCTCTCCCTCATCGTTTTAATGTCTAATCCATGTTTACAGATACTAATTGCGAAGCAAACGCCATATGTCGCTGCCATTTCTCCCTTTTTTTGCTAAATTGTGAAACCCAATTAGATTTTTCGGCTAAGCTTTGTTTCACAGATGTGAAATCAATCAGAGTTGGCCAGGGCTGAAGCAGTGGGGCTAGAAAGAGAGGGTAGACGGAAAGAGAGAGCGATGCGCCTGGTTCTCGAGGGGGGACGGGGACACATGGTGCAAGATGGAGCAAGCTGTTCCTACCGTAAAGACGCAGCTAACCAGGAGAACATTCACACAAAAGATCTCTCATTTATTGGATAAACAGACTAAAGAGTGTAAAATGCTAAAAATGCAAGCTGTGAGCTTCATATGAAGGTGACAGAATTATTTAGGCTTGCTAACTGCCAATTTAGAATCTTGCATTTCTCTAAATCTTTGATTATATACATACCAGCATGGAGGCCTGAGATAAATCAGGATGCTATTGAAACCAAAGACTGCTTGCATGTGGACGATAGAGAGAGCAAGAGAGAAAGAAGCTGGCCATTCTTTCCAAGGTTGTGAGCATGTAAAGGAAGTAGAGGTTAAAATCCACATTATTAGTTCCAAGTGCAGCTGAGCCACAGGGCATGTGACCGTGGTCCCAGAGCAAGCTGCCTTAACACGCTTCACCACAAAACAATGCTGGCTGAGAAGAAACTGCATGCCACTGATAAGGAAATAAAGCAGCCTGCGAGCACAACCAGGTGACAAGCATAAATTGCTGCCAGTTTGTTTACCATTTTCAATTTATTCAGTCTGGGAAATGATGAAAGCGGTAATCCCTGAACTTCCCACTGGTCTGCAACTGCCCAAATGTCTCCGATGAAATCGCGGCCTGTCTTCCCGCACAGCCCTTGAGTCTGAGGATAAATTTGGTAGCTACCTCTGTGCACCCTCTCTTTTCAACTTTTGCCATTGCTATTTATACTAAAGAGGTTTACATGTAGTCAGGAATTAATTGCATTAGTGTAAAATATTCTTATTTATTATAAAATTATTTGGCCTAGTCCAAGGGGTTTCAAACTAAGATGCAGGATGCAAGGGAGTTAGTGGAAAAGATGTGCTTTAAAAATATGTATACTTTCACATTTTTACAGTATCATTCTGCTTTTTAAATCAAAAGACTGATCTGTGAATATTTTATTTCCACAGCCCTAGTTTTTAACATTAAGAAAAAACTGTTTTAGAAGTGTTAATCTCTCCTTAAAATGTAAAAATTTTCAAGCGAAGACAACACAGCTGTTGTATATTTTAGAAAGAGCCATCATCGCAAGTGAATCATCATATTTGGCATTAAAATTCTTGGATCCATTAAGGCATTAAAAAAAAAAAACCCCGGACTAGCCCAAAGAAAGATAACTGTTAGCATTCCTATTCATCTCTAAGGCATCCCTTTGGAAGAACGTGCTTTGAATTCTGCATTTTACTCATAGGTATTCAGTTCTGGACACAACTGTTTTGAGCCAGTCACCTGAGGCATACACTGCTGTTCAGTAAACTTTATTTTTTTCAAGATATTAATTTAACTGGGCCATGCTAACCAGCCAAACCATGACTCCTTGGCCAAAACATAACTCAGCTTTGCTCTTTTCCCTTCAGTGTCTCTTCCACAACCTTTAGATGTCTCAAGAGAACCCACCCAAACTTATCTGGCTAATTTCTCAAAAAATTTGATGAAATGTTGTAGGATCAGTGCCCTAACCTTTGTTTACTCGTATGAAAGTCACACTTTGCTTGAGCTGTCAAGATGGCCAATTAAAGCAGTCTACTTGCACCGCTGGCCCTCATTTTAATTTTAGGCTAAAACAGCATCCTTCACCGCTTGAGTCATGCAGGCTGTCCTCCTAGTCATCATTAGTTTAGCGTGATTTGAGGAAAACGGGGCTGGAGCAAAGAAACTGTCTCAAAGGCGCAAAGAGTGAAGCTTTTAATCAGGCGGAACTGGAACCGCTACAGGTCAGTGCTGTGTCACTTCCCAACAAACAAGAAAAGGCACCGAAATTGACTTCTAATAAAACAAGAGCAGTGGGATGAAAAAAAGAGGGCTGAGAGGGAGAGCAAATGGAAGAGAAAGAGGGGAATCTAATATAAATGATAGTAGCTCAGAAAATAGCCTCAGGATTCTACATCAAGCTCAACTAATGTGCAATTAAGCTTTAGACTGGGAGAAAATCACCTTGCAAAAATATTTGTCATGTGAGCCATTTCTCTGGTCTCTGCACTAATTAACAAGGGAATGTAGCAGAGTTTGTTTATACTTCTATTTACACAACTACAAGCACAACAAACATATACCTCATATGTGATTGCATTACCCAAAGATGCTTTCTAGATCTCAATTAGATGAAACTGACATACAATCGCTATCATTAAGCAATAATAATTTACTTAACAGCTCATGAACTGCAGAACTAACCAATTAATTACACTATTATCAGTTGTATAATTAGTTGTACAATGGGTGATGGGGTGGATGCACTACAGTCTACTTTAATATGCCAAGAGGATTGAATAACACGTCAGTCCTTCCTTAGTCCAACACAGCAGACAGACTTTAAAGTCATCTTAAAGTCAGATATATTTTTGTACTCCTATTGCTGTACAAATTAAAATGCAACACCACCAGTGCCTGCAGAAAAAGGGCATTTTTTCTCAGCTAGGGAAGAAATGTGTGTTTCACAAGAAGGTACAGCTATGGTCTTTAAGATAGGTCAAATTAAATATTTTAGCCATGGTCAGCAGTTAGTTCTCTGTTCCCTGCAGAGTAAGAGTGAAATGATCCAAGGCGACAACATTAAGCAGAGACTCCAGCTTTATCTTGTTTGGACTGTGGAAAGGAGACCTAGGATGATTTTTTCTCAGCTAGGGAAGAAATGTGTGTTTCACAAGAAGGTACAGCTATGGTCTTTAAGATAGGTCAAATTAAATATTTTAGCCATGGTCAGCAGTTAGTTCTCTGCTCCCTGCAGAGTAAGAGTGAAATGATCCAAGGCGACAACATTAAGCAGAGACTCCAGCTTTATCTTGTTTGGACTGTGGAAAGGAGACCTAGGATGCCTGCATGTGCAATAAACTGACAAACAGAAATGTGTTTGGAGGCTACGGAAAGAATTGGGTCAGTTTCAATCAAACCAAATGAGCTTCTGACAGCACAACTGAAGTATTGATACTTTCCCCTTGATCCCCACATACAAATATTGATCCTAAGTGTTTTGTTAAACTAGTAGTTTTATATTTTTTTTCACGAAAAAAAAATCAATGCATAAAATAGGCTTTGAAGTGAAAATATGAACTGTGTTAGCAAGTTGTGTAAGATATGATTTATTTCTCATCTTACCATACACAGAACTGTTGAAAGACACAAGGAGCTAGTCGCAAACTGCTGACACTCATGTCCATTTAAATAGAGACTGCAGTGCTAACCAGAGACTGTGACAAAGACACATCATTCACATTAAAGCGTAAACGTCATTTATAATGGGTTTGTGTGATGATTGTTTAATGATTCAGATTAAACGTTGAAACTGATTGTAGTTAAAATGCAGAAGCCTGATCATTTGCAGTTAAGCAATTTGTTGAACTGCTTCAACAACTTATTTTTATCCTCAGGTATCATCAAAACAATGCGTAATAAAAGCATGCATGATCACTTTCAAATTTAGCTTCAGTGGCCATCTGACCTCTGGTGGAATGCAGTGTATGGAAATTGAAAGAAGATTTAGCACATATTTAAATCTTGGGGAATCAATATCGATACCATCCAAGTATTGAAAAAATTATGGAACTCATTTCTCTGTTTTAATATACTAAAATGTAATGTTGATATATAATATACTATTTTAAATAGCTGTGATTGACTGTTATTAGAAATATTGGCAATTAGGCATTACATTTGTGTAGGCATTAAAATGTACATTATTTTCACAGGTGAGTGAGACTGGTGAAGTGGATATGCAGATGATAGACTCTCAGATATGGATCCCTGCTGAAGACCCAATCTCCAACAAAACATTCCTGTTGAATTCCAAGATCTGGGAGATTTGCCAAGATCTGCCCATCCACTGGATCCACCCATCTCCTCTCAGAGGTTACAAACAGGGCTTCACCGACTCAAAATCCAATTCAACCCTAGTAATAAGGTTTCAGAATAGCTTAAGCGTCAAGTCTGTAATTTATTTTGCTCTCCACTGTTTGCTTGTACTTCCCTTCAATAGGAAGGCAAAAAATAAAAATAAAAACACTGAATTTCATGGTTTATGCTCTAGCAATGTTCTAAGCAATCACTGATTAACTAATCGAGGACACAATACACCATGTTTAAAGAACATTTTTGCCACAAACCAACTTTTTCCAAATGAGGGCATTATAGTACTGGAGGATTTTATGTTCTTCAAGGATTAGTTCACTTCCAGAATAAATATTTCCTGGTAATTTACTCACCCCCATGTCATCCAAGATCTTCATGTCTTTCTTTAGTCAATTTTTAGTCAAAGGTTTAGTCAAAGGTTTTTGAGGAAAACATTCCCGTTTCAATGCAGCTTTAAAGGCCACTACACAATCCCAGCTGAGTAATAAGGGTCTTATTAATTAAGCAGAGACTCCAGCTTTATCTTGTTTGGACTGTGGAAAGGAGACCTAGGATGCCTGCATGTGCAATAAACTGACAAACAGAAATGTGTTTGGAGGCTACGGAAAGAATTGGGTCAGTTTCAATCAAACCAAATGAGCTTCTGACAGCACAACTGAAGTATTGATACTTTCCCCTTGATCCCCACATACAGATATTGATCCTAAGTGTTTTGTTAAACTAGTAGTTTTATATTTTTTTTCACGAAAAAAAAATCAATGCATAAAATAGGCTTTGAAGTGAAAATATGAACTGTGTTAGCAAGTTGTGTAAGATATGATTTATTTCTCATCTTACCATACACAGAACTGTTGAAAGACACAAGGAGATAGTCGCAAACTGCTGACACTTCACTCATGTCCATTTAAATAGAGACTGCAGTGCTAACCAGAGACTGTGACAAAGACACATCATTCACATTAAAGCGTAAACGTCATTTATAATGGGTTTGTGTGATGATTGTTTAATGATTCAGATTAAACGTTGAAACTGATTGTAGTTAAAAAGCAGAAGCCTGATCATTTGCAGTTAAGCAATTTGTTGAACTGCTATAACAACTTATTTTTATCCTCAGGTATCATTAAAACAATGCGTAATAAAAGCATGCATGATCACTTTCAAATTTAGCTTCAGTGGCCATCTGACCTCTGGTGCAATGCAGTGTATGGAAATTGAGAGAAGATTTAGCACATATTTAAATCTTGGGGAATCAATATCGATACCATCCAAGTATTGAAAAAATTATGGAACTCATTTCTCTGTTTTAATATACTAAAATGTAATGTTGATATATAATATACTATTTTAAATAGCTGTGATTGACTGTTATTAGAAATATTGGCAATTAGGCATTACATTTGTGTAGGCATTAAAATGTACATTATTTTCACAGGTGAGTGAGACTGGTGAAGTGGATATGCAGATGATGGACTCTCAGATATGGATCCCTGCTGAAGACCCAATCTCCAACAAAACATTCCTGTTGAATTCCAAGATCTGGGAGATTTGCCAAGATCTGCCCATCCACTGGATCCACCCATCTCCTCTCAGAGGTTACAAACAGGGCTTCACCGACTCAAAATCCAATTCAACCCTAGTAATAAGGTTTCAGAATAGCTTAAGCGTCAAGTCTGTAATTTATTTTGCTCTCCACTGTTTGCTTGTACTTCCCTTCAATAGGAAGGCAAAAAATAAAAATAAAAACACTGAATTTCATGGTTTATGCTCTAGCAATGTTCTAAGCAATCACTGATTAACTAATCGAGGACACAATACACCATGTTTAAAGAACATTTTTGCCACAAACCAACTTTTTCCAAATGAGGGCATTATAGTACTGGAGGATTTTATGTTCTTCAAGGATTAGTTCACTTCCAGAATAAATATTTCCTGGTAATTTACTCACCCCCATGTCATCCAAGATCTTCATGTCTTTCTTTAGTCAATTTTTAGTCAAAGGTTTAGTCAAAGGTTTTTGAGGAAAACATTCCCGTTTCAATGCAGCTTTAAAGGCCACTACACAATCCCAGCTGAGTAATAAGGGTCTTATTATCTAGTAAAACGATCTGTCATTTTCTTAAAAAAAAATAAAAATGTATATACTTTTTAACCACAAATCCTCATCTTGCACTAGCTTGACTTTACACATTACATAGTCACGTTGGAAAGGTCATGCATGACTTAGGTGGACGTATCGACCCAGTGTTTACAAAGCGAACATGCTAAGAAAGTCAAATGCCCTTTACAAAAACATGTAAAACAACGATGTCAGAAGATTTTGAAGTTTGAGGAGAAAATGAGATGGAGATTTTCACTCTACCCTTCAAAAAGGTATTTTTGAACCAGAGTACACAGACAAAGAGCTAACTGTGCGTAACCTTTCCAACGTGATTACATAATGCGTGAATTTGCGGATGCGCATCAGGGAGCTAGTGCAAGCCGTGCATTTGTTGTTAAAAAGTATTTACATTTTTCTTTTCTTTTTTAGACAATGACCAATCGATTCGCTAGATAAGACCCTTATTACTCAGCTGGGATCGTGTAGAGCCCTTTGAAGCTGCATTGAAACTGGACCTTCAACTCCTTGGCCACCAGTCCATATGGCGAAAAATCCTGGAATGTTTTCCTCAAAAACCTTAATTTCTTTGCGACTGAAGACAGAAAGACATGAACATCTTGGATGACATTATCAGGAAATTTTTATTCTGGAAGTGCACTAATATTTTAAGGAAGATCAAAGAGGCCTTTCATGATATCAATTTTTTAGTAGCAAGTTTTTAGTGTTACTGTCTTTCCTTTGGTGATACAGATGCTGAATTCCACGATGTAGAAGATGTGGAGGAGACCACAGAGCTGGAGGCGAGAGGTGCCCGTCAGACCCGGGATGTCATGGACCAGTTACCAGTAAACGACTATGTAAGTATGATCCTGAGGTACTGCTAAAAAAACCTGAGGTATTACTAAAAGACGTGTTCAAACTGCGGTTGAGCCAGATAGTCATGCTCTCTTTCTTGGTATAAATCGTTCATTAATCGAAGTTCCCTTTCCGAACTTAAAACAGACCATGTGGACCACAGGGTATTGAAATTGCTCTATATATCTGCTTAAATCAGGCCAGTTCACTTAAGACTCCCTTAATGTCTTACAGCTAATGGAGAGGGATATTTAGCCTTCAAAGGAAGCAAGTTTGCCTTGCACAATTTTTCCTTGCCTCTCTTATGTAGTTAGTGATGTACAAAGACAGTCTCCCAAGGTCACTCATTAATGAATAGTTAAATGTATTAATCATGCTTTAATTATCAAAGCATGGAGAATCACGCAGCCAAAGAGTGTCCTTTATTGCGTTCATGAAGTGAAGCATATGTTCAATGATGAATTGATGCACTAATGCTTCGCACACCTACGATATACACTTCCCCAACTAGCATGTGACTTCTAGCCTCCAAGCACAAGGATGAGAAGACTGAGAAAAGAAAGAACTATGGGGTGGTGGGAAAAAAGGCACATTTATCTGCAGAGACCCAGGAACGTCTTGCCTGCGCACCTCATCCAGCAACACGGACTGCAACGTACTGTATAATTAAAGCGGACCCAGATGAAACCACCTTTCCCTTTTGAAATCCTCTCCTTCTATCAGCTGGTTAATACACACCAATCCAGCCAATTCCAAGGCTAAGCACAGGCGGGCTGTGTTTGTGGGCAGAGCGATAACAGCGGCTTTAGTGAACGTCAGAGGGGATGTGGCTCCCGGTAATTGGAGTCTGGAGTCATGTAGATGCTGCTGGGAAGCCAGATATCCCAGACCTTTCAGAGGATCCTAGACGCAAGCCATTCTTTAGCTCTCCCACCGGCAGAAGTCTGCAGCCGGAGGAGGAAATTCATATTTTGCTACAGGTTTCTTTCTGTTGTACACTTTTTATAAATAATCATCAAAGTTCCTGTGACAGAAGGCCTGAGATATACGAGGCTGACCTTTCCCCAGTCCTGCCACGCTGATGCGTTGCGTGCCAGCACAGCTCTGGATATCTTTCAAACTGAATAACTATCATCTGGCTGTGCTGAGAAATTGCATCATGGTCCTTGACCTACATTGGTAGGATACGACTCTGATGATTGGGTCCAGTCGAATCTCAGCCTTGTGTGCCTGCCACAGTTGTTGATGGTAGGAATCGTGACCCCACATCCTAGCTGAAAGCATTCTGGCTTGCAGATCGCTGATTGAACCTGCCTCCCCGAGTCTGTCTGAACTTAAGTTGCACTGTCCAGTCAAGGACCCAATGAAGATGAATTCACTTTAAACTTTGGATACTAAAATGAAACAAATGCTTTGTTTCAAGTGTCTTTTTAAATCTGTAATTTAAAACAAACACTTTAAAATTAACATTATAACACGTACAGTACAGTTATAAAATTAAATAACAGGCATACGTGTAATGATTAGGTTCAGCAATTTTTGTGGATGCCAAAAATAAGTGCTCTGCATGCATATATAAAAAACCCACATCCTATATTATTCTATAGCTACACTACCATTAATCCTATATTATTCTATAACTACATTACCATATAAAAGTTTGGCAGCGGTAAGTCTCATGCTTGCCAAGGCTGAATTTATTTGATCAAAAAAACAACAAAAATACAGTAATATTGTGGAATATTACTACAAGTTTTCTAATTTAGCATCTATTTCAAATGGAATTCATTCCTGTGATGGTAAAGTCATTACTCCAGTCTACAGTGTCACATGATCCTTCAGAAATGATTCTATTAGAATATTCTAAATTAATATCAATGTTGAAAACTGTTGTCCTGCCTAATATTTCTGTGGCAACCATGATGCATTCTTTGACAAATATAAAGTACAGCAAATAAAGAAGAGCATTTCTATAATATAAAGAACAGCATTGGTTTGAAATAGAAATATTTTGTAACATTATAAATGTCAACATTGCTGAATACAGTATTAATTAAAATCTTTAAAAAAATGTAAAAGATCTTACTGACCCCAAACTTTTGAACAATGGTGAATATCAAAACACACAGGAAATGCACATCTGCAATAATTTAATAAAACAACTTTCTTCACACTTGAGCGTAATCTTACAAGCATTCCTCCACAGTTTTTGATGAATGTTCAGCTTCAACGACAATTAAATTCTACCATACAATGAATGCAAATGCTTTACTTTAGTTGTAAACAGGATATCTAGATTTGATTCATAAGTAAACTGTAAAAGGGGTCTTTCTCCATCATTTACTGATAAACAGATCCTCCACAAGAGACGTTTTTGTGTTTGTGTGCACTCTGATCCATTCCAATCTGCTCCAGATGTCCCAATCAGTTTTTAGAACAAAACAAAATGAAGCATGTATAATGTCAAACTAAATAAAATGCACTCAAATAAATAAACAAGCATTGTGTTAAACATATTTAATTATGTTTGAGACAGTAATGAGTTAACTTTGACAGTCCTGAAAGAAAAGTTAATAATTTGATTAGGGATGCACGATATATCGGCCACCATATCGGTATCGGCCCATATCGGCTCATTTTTTCTGTTATCGGTATCGGCCTGATAAGAAAATTTGGCCGATATCTTAAAGCCGATAAATAATGCATTATTTCCTTCAGAGACACTTCAGATGCGCGCTGTTCGTTTGCAGCCTTTTGTGCAATTGTACGTTGTAATATTGTGTTTATTTGATGTATATCTGATTTATCTCATATAGAATGCGTTTGGTTAAGTTAAAAGAGCGCTTCAGTTTACCGGTGATCATCTTTAGCTCAGCACACGCAGCCCAAACAGCAGTGCACAACATTAATAACTATGATTGGGAATGTCGTGTATATAACATTCTAATGAGAACATTATTATAATAAAACGTTGTGAATTCTTTGGGGTTAGTTGCCGTGTTTCAGCGCGTTGTTATGGGAAGAGCGCATCCACAACAGGATCACACATTCTGACTATAGCACGCAATAACTGCATCATTTTGTACATATATAAGTTGTAATATTATGTTTATGTTGTATTAATATTAATCTCAGGATGCATTTCCTTGAAATTTGATGCATGAAGAAATTTACTCAAAATGTATTTAGAATCAATAAGACTCTTTTGGGAAACAGTGTTTCTCTAGCGTCTTGATTAGCATCAAGATATTGTGAAGTTTAAAATAATTTATCCCCTCAGTAATTGTGGTTTATGAAGTAAATCCACAGGGTGTCAAGCTGAGAATCAACTCTATGATGTGCCACGCCATAATAAATGAGTTTTCGTGTTTCCTCACATTAAATGCTACTACATCACGTTTTACAGGCTGTAACACTAAACATAACGAGAACATGACAGGCTTTGTAAGGCTAATATAAAACTCTACAGTCAGCTATAAGCACCTGTTCTTAATTACACTTACTAGTTTATGCATGACTGACATCATGTCCCAGAGTACTTCACTTCTTCTCACTGACATATAAAGTCTCAAACATGAAGTTATTAACACTCACTTTCTCATTGCAGCAGGATAATCAGTTTGATTAATATACCTCCGTGGAACAATACCATTCATAGTCTGTTTGTTTTATCCTAATCACACATCATTTCACTCGGGAAAAAAAAACTTATTTTTCCAAATAACATCCACCTTTCATGCTGGCAGGGGGCTTTTCTGTGAAAGTCTGATAAAGCAAACAGTGCTACACTGACAGGCTTTGTGCTGTTTCCAAAATGAATTGTTGTCTCAACACTCTTGACCCTAAACCTGACAAACATTATGAATCAGTAATTGTCTTTGTGCATTTGTGAGAGTAATAAATCAAAGACTACAAGCATCACCCTGCTTTCTCTTGCACTAGTCTAATCATTAGGAGAATGCGATTTTCACTCCATTCATCATTGCATAGTGAGCTCATGAAAACTCATACATGCCTCGTTTATGGAGAACATAATGAGAGATGGGACTCCAGAGGAGAAATGCATGTCATTATGCATCTGCACAGGCACATTATAATTCACTGCGCTTCATCTCAAACCCAAAAAAGATCAATAATGATAATAATATACCTGTTTATGCTATACAAACACCACAAATGACCATTCTTAAATGCCATTTTCATCCTGGCAACACATTTCAAAGCGATTTTCTCCCCTCACGTTCATTTGCGTCATTTCCCAACAGGAAGTCTGAAACGTTGCCAGACAACTTGGAGAGATATGGCTTCATCTGCCAATCTAATGCAGATCAGCAGAGGTGACTAGTTCCATGACAGTGTTTTTAATCAGACAGATAATGTAATATTGTCTGCGTCGTAAGCTTGGGGAGACCGAAATGCAGTCAAATGAAACAGTGCGAGTCGAGGGTGCTATGTGCTCCAACAGTTACGGGAGATAGAAAGTTAAGTGGCACTTCTCGGAACCCATCTCATTGTAGCGACTGATCAAAGGCATGGCACTCAGCCCTGGGTAATCTGGAGAGGGCACACATACACGATCACAATGGAGAGGGCCAAGAGCCATTAATTCTACCCAATTTACCTTTCACTCCACTTTCATTTAGCCCTTACACCAATTCACACCCTGCCTGCGAGAGCAAATAAACCGATCCTTGTTGGGCGATCATTACCCTGCTAATTGCTGTATGAACGTGCCATTCGCTTTATGCCAAAGTCAAAGGAGGGCATGAAAGTGCATGGGGAGGGTTCTCATTTCTGAGCTGAAATGAGGCCGGGGTCGCTGCTCGGACTGAGGCTCCAATGATACGCTTTTAAGGGAGTGGGAGGGCTGGGATGAAAGAAATAGTGTAATTATCTCAGTGGCTGCCAGTGTTAAACTCACTGTGACTGAGAAAGAACTGGCAACGGGGTTAAGGGACTTGAATCAGAGATGCTAAAGCCAAGCGATGCCACCAGCGGCGTAATGGAAAGGTCAAGGGCATTATATCATATCTGATACCCTGGCTTGGCATATCAAAACCATCTACGTTAAATGCCACTCTGATCCTTGTGACATATCTGAGCATGACAGGGTTTTTTGTCATTGCTTTTCTACAACCCATAATCACTCTTCATTCCCCCTTCAGAACACTGCACCTTTTTATTGCTAACATCAAACCATCAGACATGCGCCCTGTGCTGAGATTGCAGGTATTGTTTGGCTGCAGTACCCTGTTGACTCACTCTCTTTGCAGAGAGAAATCGGGCTGGAGCTGGACAACAGCCTAGATGAGCAGGGCTACTGCTGCCAGCACTGTCGTCGGGGGTACCGTTACTGTCGGCGATACTACGAGCCCCTGGGCGGCTTTTGGCCGTATCCCTACTATTACCAGGGAGGACGGGTCATCTGTCAGATTGTCATGCCCTGCAACTGGTGGATAGCAAGAATGCTGGGACGAATTTGAAGGTATACCGGAGGGATCCAATGGTGCTATGCTGCTCAGGGGTGCGCGTAGACCAGCTTCATTTGTACGAAATGTCACATATATGCTCAAACCTTCTTCCATTCTTTGTGTAAAAAAAATAGCTTAAAATAAGGCAAAACATTAGCTCATCCTCGGTGACCATGTCACTGTCAACATTATTGTTTTATATTATATATGGGTAGTTGATGGATAACAATCAACATCAAGATTATAGGCTAAACTGTATATAAAAACAGGGAAATTGTATATTTTAGGTGCTATTTTTTTCCACAATTTCACCTTTGTTAGTTTAATCTGTGGTACTACAAATTAATTTTTATTAATACAAAAATTTTCCAACTCAGACTATTTTCAACAGCATTTTACATGCCGTTTTTATGACCATATTAATTTTAAACCACATTAGTCTCTCAATTAATATGGTTGTAAAAACTGTTATCATACAATTAATTGTTTAAAACAAAGTATTTCATGTCAACTACATGTCAATATACATACATACATATATATATACATGGTTATACTGGAAGTAGAACAGAAACAGGTGCTTTGGAAATGGTCAGTTACTGTAGTTACATATTCCATGCAGACCTTTCAAAACAATAGTGTAGGTGACCATTTCTATGGACCCTTTATTTGTCTTGTTTATAGTGGATGAGAGGCATTATAAGAAACCAGGTTAACAAATAAATTTACAGTAATTTGCATGTTTATATTATGAAATATTGTTTTTAATGTATTTACGCTTAAGCAAGTCCATGTAGAACTTTGAAAATTAGCCTTTATAAAAGCTGTTATGTAAATGTAACGCAGTGTCGAACTGCACTGTACACAACATATCACATGGCTATATTTAAGTAGTGACATTGCTAGCACCATAATTGCAGGTCTGGGACTGTTTCAATCAATTCTTTCATCCAAGCAAATGCGTGCTCTATAAATTGCATTTACGTAATCTAACGCTCCTTTGTGTTTTTCCAGCAACTTCCTTCTGAATAAAACTGGTAAAAGTTTCATTGTCTGCTACTAATTTACTGCTGCACATAAACATGTGCTAAGGGACCTAAAGAGTGAATTAAATGGATGCCTTCAGATTTTTTTTTGTTTGTTTTCTTTGGAAAACAAACTCAATGACCTTGACATTATTAGCGTTATGCTCTTCCAGTTCAGCTCCAATAAGACCAGACACATGACTGCACTATATGATCTAATAAGACAGACAGACACAGTATATTATTTTAAATGATCATATGGAAAACCTTGAAAGACATTACACTGAAAGCATACAAAATGCATCTATTCTGAGAAACTAACAAAAGAGCAAAACACAGGGCTTTCATCTTGAAAAAAAAAAGATGCCACATCTGTGACAAACAACCTCACAAAGCAATCCATGGAGGAAGTTAAAACTCACCTTGATGTTTATCTCTTTCGCATCCATGGTCAGTTGTATAAATGTGATTTTCATCAGCCATATATTTTCTCAAAACACTTCTTTCTTCTGCAATACTAAGATCTAATTCACTAGAAGCCCGAGGTAAATGATCAAAGCACAAACTCAAAATACCCCATAGAAAGCTTATTATAATGGATACTGTTTCTTTTATCACAATACCTTGAAATCATCTAAGACACCGGCGCTTATCTTGATGCGATACAAGAGGAAGTCACCTCAAACATTAACAGAGCCATCGTATAGTGGGGAAAATATCAGTAATTGCAAAAATATTTTAATTCATTCAATATTAACAATTTCAGTTACATAAATGCTACAAATGTATTATTATTCATATTCCATTTATTAAATTTGATCAATTAAATTATTACAATTATTACTGTAATTCTTCATATAACCTAATAGCCAAACAATACAAATCTACTTACTCCCTCTCATGTTGTTCAAAACCTGTATGACAAAGAAGACTGGAACAACGTCTGAGCCTCTTTCATCTATACAGTGAAAAAAGGACAAAATGCACTATAAAAACCATCAAATGAGGAAGAAACATAAACGTAAATAATAATAATAAACTTTTCTTGATAATCACCAAACGTTCTAAGCAACATTATAATTAATTTCATTTTTAGAATAATAGTAGACAAAGAGCAAGAGAAGTATAAATTCATTAATGTCATTGTGAATTCAACCAAGCTGTTTACAATGTTCCTTATGATATGCCATATTCATATACCTGTGTTTTCATTTCTAGACACATACCTGCGCTGGTGTATTTACATGTCAGCTATGACAAATAACATATTCTATGCATATTAACCTGTTAAGGTTAAGGCAGGAAACTAAAGAACTAAAAAAAAACAAAAAAAGTGATTCATGACTTTAATTTAAATGAATTATAGAATAGCACTAGATCCATACTAAAGCGTGTCTAACCATTTCAGATTTAAAACAACCTATTTTCATTTGAGCTGCTTGTATTTCATTGCCTAGACGCAGAAAGAGTGCGAGTGAGCCTGCAGCAACACTGCCTGCATGAGACTGAGGGCGAAAATACAGTAAGTCTAGGGCCGTGCAAGGAGACGCATGTGAAGTCATTCCTTTTGATAGCACATCAAAAAAGTGCATTGTACTTTACCTCCAAGTTTTAGTTCCCAGCATTTAATTCGCCGGTTCGTGTACGTGGAGTGCTGTGTACTGTGTAAAGTCTGTGTTTTACAGGCAGACGTTCTGCTTTAATGCAATACACGATGTACAAGAAGAGAGAGCAAATTGCTTGTTAAATGTATTTCACTGAGGTGTGTCACTACTGCCCCCCAGTGGTGCCGTATGGATATGACTCTATTCTTGTATATTAAGGCGATATAAGCAAGATGTACAATACCTAGACATTCCTCTTCATCTTGCTGGAAGTTTTACGGCTGGTGTAGGACTCCTCCGATGAACACGATATAAAATCTGGCTTCTTTGCTCATAACGTGTGTATATTAAAAGGTAAATGCCGCGTCCACCTGCTCCAGGTACGCCAACAGTGTCGCCATCTTTAAACGGTCAACAGGACACCTGTTTGAATGTGAAGACGGAGATGTTTGAACGCGCTGAATTAACAGCTTTTATGTACAGTAAAATAGTTCATCACATAATATGTAAATAATACATTTGCTGACTTGGTGGTAATTTTCAACATGTTTTCCATGACATAATCATTTTATAGAACCTTTTTTGTCGAGTTTGATACGAAAAAATGCTGTTTGGTAAAAGAATTGTGCGACAGATAGGATTTATTTACGGCACCACGCTCATTTCAGTAGCCACCGCCAACAGTAATTGTCGCAAAGCGTGTCATATCTATGGTAGGACTCATCAGACAAAAAACAAGTCTAATAAATACATAATAATAAAAAACTGTCTAATCAAATTTTAATTATGAATACTGTATTGTAATTATTTAATCAGCATTTTTGCTTCATGACATGAGATTTGAATACCGTATATATTAAGGATTTTTTTAGATCACTGTATTATTAATGAAAAATATTGACGTGTGTGTGTGTGTGTGTACTTTTTTTACAGTTTAAATAATAAAAAATCTCACACATCTATACTAGATTGCAAAACATCTGCTTAAATATTTAAATATAGCCTAATTATTTCCATATATTTCATTGTTGCTAGGAATATACATACAGTACATACAAATTTTTGCTTCATGACATGAGATTTGAATACCGTATATATTAAGGATTTTTTTAGATCACTGTATTATTAATGAAAAATATTGACGTGTGTGTGTGTGTACTTTTTTTACAGTTTAAATAATAAAAAATCTCACACATCTATACTAGATTGCAAAACATCTGCTTAAATATTTAAATATAGCCTAATTATTTCCATATATTTCATTGTTGCTAGGAATATACATACAGTACATACATCTAAGTCGTGGGGAAGTCGTGGCCTAATGGTTAGAGAGTCGGACTTGAGCAAGGCACCGAACCCCCAACTGCTCCCCGGGCGCCGCAGCATAAATGGCTGCCCACTGCTCCGGGTGTGTGTTCACGGTGTGTGTGTGTGTGTTCACTGCTGTGTGTGTGCACTTTGGATGGGTAAATGCAGAGCACTAATCAGGTTTGAAACAGTATGAGGGTGTCAGTTCTGATCTTCACTATATAGCCAGATCTTTTTGAATGGCTATCAACGGAGAAAGATCTGCCAGATGATGTAGTTATAGCATCCACCAGCATGGGCCATAATAATCAGCCAAACCTTGACTCTATGGTTATGACCTGGGATTTCATTTGTTAGTGGAAGAAATGTGTCAATTCAGGCAGTTGAGGGATGTAGGGTGAGAAGTTTAATAGCTGTAAGAGTATTGCTTTTAGCTTCTATAAATTCCTGCTGTGAGACTGCTGCTGCTTTAAAAATTTGATGTAAATATAAAGTGATGAACAAAGGACGAAAATTGCAGTGGATGTCATTAGTCTTAGTTCAGTAACAGAACAAACCCATTGTTTAGTATTTGTGTGTGTGTGTGTGTGTGTGTGTGTGTGTGTGTGTGTGTGTGTCTCAGCATCCTGGTGTGTGAGTAATCTTAGCGCAGCCCCTGACTGGAGGCACATTTCTAATGACCGCCATCCCTCAGCCGCCCCGCCACTCCTCACTAGAGATGCCGTGATGCAATAAACACTCGCTCTCTTCGAGCATGTCATTGGCCCCCAGCTACTTGTCGTCTTGCTTTAAAATTAGAATGTTCCTTGAGCTGATTTTGTCCAGCTGTGTTGATGTAAAGACCCGGTTTGACGCTAGTGAACCACAGCTGTCTAGAAATTCAGCTTTAATTTGAAAACCCTTTTTTAAACTATATACAAGGGTTATTTTGGTTTAGAAATGTATGATTCATCATAGATCCTATGACATTCAGCAGTGAAACACTGATCAACGCAAGCTGTCCTGTTTAGTCTTTTTTAATGCTGCATGACATGAGTAATACTAGGGAGACAACATGCCATGTCAAACAGCTACATGTGTTTCCTGCACCATGACATGCTATACTTCATCTTAATTTTGAACATTTGTCTAATTATTATATTTCCAGTTATAACTGCATATTAACTGTGAGACTACAAAGAGTATTAGTACTTTTAAAAATGTATTTGCCACTTTTAAGAGTGAAAAGTGACTGAAATGATGACCATGGCTAGTTGTCACAAGGGCTGTACAGTAACCATGATTTTGAATTTGATGATGCATTTTCTCTAACAGTGTTGTTGTTTGTTAGTTTAAAATATCTCATTTAAAATGGTCATAATTAATTTTGTGAATTAAAATTCCATCATATTTTACTGCTATGATAAAAATAAAATCACACTGACATGCATTAACACAACACAGTATAGCATAGGTAGGTTTTCAATTATTATAAAGTTGTTTGATTTTAAACTTTCAGGACAGGATTATTTTATAAAAGTCAGGTCAGGGCAAGATGTCACGTTTGATATTTTATTTTATACAATTTTGTACAACTTCTGGACATTACCTGTTACTGCTTTATGATTTTTTTTATTGAAAATGAAATAGCCTATAATTGGCTGTTTAATGGCACATTCCCATTGTGACAGCATGGCTCTTGGGGAGGTCAATGAGTTTTTTGGAGCTTATTGTTTTTGTTCTTCTTATGGGGAAAGGTGGAAATACCCAGTAGCTGTTTTGTAACAAAGACTTTAACGTATGTTCCTTTACAGAAATTGACTTTCAAAAATAAATCCAACTTAAGACATTTTTTGCTGTACTGGTCTCCCTCTATCCTCTATTTAAACTTAAACACACAGACTTGACATTGGAAACGAAAATGTTCATATCTATGTATTTGTTATATCTTCTCCAGTTCACGTAACATTTCGAGTGGTGTGATAAAATATCTTCACATTTTCACAGGACAGATTAACACTGTGCAAATTGTTTTAACAACCACTTTCAGTTGCCATTTTGCTTTGCCCATACTTGTGGCTACAGTTGCCTTTAACAGCTCTGGTATTGTGTTTTTCTGGATGTTATTGGTTTATTTTTCAGTGTTGCCTGTAGGGTTCACAGTGCTGGGTAATCTGCAGCTGTGTGTGAATAGTAGACTTGGGGGTAAGAGCTCCAGCATGTACCAGCTGCCAGATGGCTCCATCAGCACACACACACACACCCCACTGTATAACATTGAAAGCCTCTCCAATCCCGTACCAGTGAGTAATCACACACAGAATCATTTCTATCCTCACCACAAGTCCGGCACACAGAGCTGCAGGTGTGAAAACTGTTATGGGTCCTCTCACAGTCTGTGTTAGTTGTTTAAAGATTATTTGCCCACAAAACAGACAGGGAAAAAATTATTACATTAAGTCATGAAGGGTGGATATGTTAAACAAATAATAAAGTAAGAATTCCGTCATTTACTCTCATGTTGTTCCAAACCTGTATGACGTCTTTTCCCTGTGACAGTTCATAAAGACTACAGGCTGTCAAACTCTAAAAAGGGCAAAATACACTAAAAAGCACCATTAAAACAATCTGTGGCATAGTCTAATTTCGTGACATTCACTTATGTACAATTGTGGTTGTACATAAAAATGTGAAGAATGTTTCTTTTTGTGTGTTTCACAAAAAAAAAACAGGTTTGAAACAGTATGAGGGTACTTTTATGACCATTTTTTGGTTTAAAAATGCTAATGCTCTTTTTCACCCTCTCAAATGAGGGAACCATGCCTGATTGTTCAATAACTCTTTTCGGCGCTTTGCTTCCTGTAGTTAACAGATTGCATTCACTCCATCCTCGCCGAAGTTGCCGTGGTGCTCTGTAGTCTCCAGAAGGAGCAGACGAGCCGAATAAGAGCACATATGGCTGGAAACAAAGCTCCCTGCAACAGCCTCGATTCACAGCAAGATGTTGCGCGATACCTGGGAGTGCATCTGACCTCTGTTAATTCACGTTAACAGAAGAAACGCATGAGGAGATGCACCGGGAGGTGTACTTGTTTTAATACGTCGAAACAATGATAGCATCTGCCTTGTGGGCTTTGTGTTGTTTACCCACAACCCAGTTAGTCTATGATCTTGAGTTTTAATTTCCACAGCAAAGAGGGAACAGGAGATCACACGTTCACGTTAAGGCAAAATTGTTTTTATTATATTTCTTTTGGTTCGCTCTTTTTGTTTGTTTGTTTTTTTAGAAAAAAAATCTAGTCTACTATAAGACAAATGGAAAAAAAGGAAAGCCCCATGAAAAGGCAAGATTAAATTATAGCAAGAGCACTGGCATACCTTTACCCCAAAACTACAGAGCATAAAGCCTGTGGTCAACAAACATTTCAAACAAGACCAGGTCTGAAAATTACATGGTGGCCAGAAGGACATTTTTCTTCTATTATGAAGGAGATCACTGATTGTCTTACTGGCGTAATATTGCATAATACAAGGTGTAGCCATGATTGTCAGTGCAAGAGCAGCACCAGAACTATGGTGTTAGTCAAACAAAATTCAAGGCAAAAGCCTGCTGCCCATGATCAGCATCTGGTCTTCAGAGAGTCCAGTCACCATTTACCTTCAACAACTTCAGTCACTTCTTCCAATTTAGCACAAATTTAGTTTGTCTGCAGCATCCACTCTGTTTGCTATTAAGAGACTGTGCTCTAGATTCATTGGATATAAATGAGGTGAGGAAGGAACAGAGGCCATGGCCAGATTACTACATCGACTACAAATAAATACATTTTAAAAATCTACCTAAATGTCCCAGACCACAACAGCTGTGTCTGAGACACAATCTGTGATCTGAAAAACAGTTGTTTAAGGCATCAGTCGAACGATATGTGGTCGATATAGGGTAAAAGTATGACAGTGTAAAGGCAGAAACCAAAGGACATCACATTTATAACACGTACACTTTGTAAAAAAATGGCTTTAAACACATCACAGTGAATAAGAACAGCATGATAGCTCAATCTCATAAAGCTAAATTCGGATCCCCTTATGTTGAAAAATAGATAAAATGTGAAAGGTGTGCGGATTACATGGAATGCTTTAAATTGGAAAAATACAGCAATACACACATACTGGATTCTTATGGGTAAAATTAGCCCTACATACTGCATATTTTCCCTCATTTTTGCATTTGTTTAAAAAAAAACTTTTTACACAGAATTTAGAAATTCAGAAAATAAATAAATTTGTGGCCATAAATTTAATCTTAGTTGTATATTATATATATATATTTATGTATACTGTGTTCCATTTCATATGAACAAGATTATAATGGGGAAATACTTTGCAGCTGATTTTGGAATTTGTCACTATATTCTCTAGTCTGTTACTATATACAAACAAAGTCTACTAGAACTGTCTCTTTGGACAGGCAATGCCCATTTCCATAAAACCACAGTGCTTTTAAATTTGTGTGTGATGGAAAAATAATAAACTTCAGTTCTGATGAGGGGGATGAGATAATGTCATAATTCTGTATTTAAAACAGAGTGAATCATACAATCTTCCCCTTCAAAGCATCACTTCCAAAACAAAGCATTAACCACCTAGGCACTCTTTCAGTCTTATTCCAGTAGGCATCCTTTTGAAGTCCTTGAAGATGGCTACAAAAGAAAAAAAAAGGTTTATCCATCTTTTATGTCCTAAGCAACTGTGTGTGTTTTTTAAATCCTAAAGTCAATGGTATGTTGTTGGTTTCTTTTTGGCTTCCCACCAACTCCTACTTTGGTCCCTCTGCTGGATAAAGTCTTTGGATTTGTCTGTGGAGATGAGAAGAGACAGAAACATCTCAACTGGCACATATGGTGGGAATATCCCTGGTTGGAGAATGGCTGATCTACTGTTGGGAGTTTGGAAGTGACAGAGAGCATACCAAAGAGCTTTCATCATGACATCATGGTCGGTATCCCTCAAGGTTCGAATTTAGGCACAATATCACAATAACTTTGAGTAAACAGCAGTCTTCGGGTCAACGCCCATTCTAAACAATCAAGAGCAATAAATTACAGATAATATGCTCCACTGAAATCCTGTTTTTTTTTTTCACATGTTGGTCGATTGTGTCCACATTCCCCTGCTTCAGACGAAGGTTTAGGTCTCAGCCGGTTCCGCCTTGACCTGGATGAAGTGGGATGCGGATATCTGCATGGTGCCCTGCAATTCTTGCAGACCTTGAGAGCCCTCTAACAGTTCTTTAGCCTCAGGCTCCGGATGCAGAGCCACTTCTCCCCTCACTTCTAGTTCCTCCACGGGGGTCAGGCCCTCACTAGGGCTGCTGGCCAGCTGCGAGCCCATGTCCGAGTGTCCATTGAGGGTCTGGTACAGCTCTTGACCTGCACTGTTGATAATCACAGTTCTGTAGCTCAGCTCTGCCACTCCTTCCTCGAGCTCAGCTTTGCCATACAAGGCCACACTAGGGTTGCTGTTGACCAGAGATTGGAGGTACTGGGGGTCTAGGATCTCCTCCTTCACCTGCAGGCCTTGAAGTTCACTGGGCTTTAGGACCGTGGCGATGACCGTTCCAGGCTGCTGGGCCACTACGGGCTGCCCGTTGGCATTGAGAGTGACCAGGCGGGTGATGCCATTAAGAGATCCGGCTTGCTGTGATGTGGTGCTGATTACCCCTCCACTGGATGAACCCAGAGTGGACACAAGGAGCTGCTGGGACTGGATGCTGTCTGTCGTCAGAGAGGCAGTCTGGATGGTGAGCACATCTTTACTGCCAGGGCTGGTGGAAGGCACAGTGTGGAGAATGACCCGAGGTGGCGAGGCATGTGTAGAGGAATCCCCATTGGTCAGAACAGAGGACAGTGACAAGGTCTGCAGGGTGACTGGACCACCTCCTTGAGCTCCTGATGTGAGGACCATGGGAATAGAGCCTGGCATATTTATAGTCCTACGAGAGATAGAGGGGCATAGGGTTATAAAGTAAGAGCACTTTAGCTCCAGTATAAGGAGAAGGAAAAATTATAAGGCGGCTTTGAATTATTAGAGCCAACTGTTTTTCAGATAAACTGTGGAACATGCAAAATATAACTTTTTTTAAGCTAAAGAAATTAACTTAATGATACCATTGTTCTTAGATTTTTAAGTTCTTAAAATTAAGAAAATTTTACATAGATTGTTCATTTGTGGCCATGTTGTACTAATTTGTTCCCTTGTTTTAGTTAAATTGTGGCCAAATTGTACTACTTTGCTCCCTTGTTTTAATTTAGTTAAATCATGGCCGCTTTGTATTACTACAATCCCTTGTTAAAACATGGCCACGTTGTACTAATTAATTCCCTTGCTTATCGTGGCCACATTGTATTCATTTGTTCCATTGTGGCCATGTTGTACTAACTCATTCCCTTGTTTTAATTTAGTTAAATCGTGGTCACACTACCATAATTTAACTAAAATGAGGAGACAAATTCTTAATTTGCGGCCACGATATTTAGTTTTTTTCCCCACGCCATTTACAGGGCTCTGTAATTCGTGTTACAGCCTAGGAAAAAAAGTGTTACAAATGGCTCACTTATAAGGTCTATTTTGGTTATGATGCTGCTGCTTAAGAATGTAGCTACCTATGTAGGCAGCAAAGACAACAGATTTTGGAAAAGAGCTTTCAACAGTGGTTTTAAATTTGTTAGTACACTTCCTGCTTGTGTGTGTGGCTGTCTGTTTATGTATGTATTTGTGCACACAAAAATGCCCCCCACCTTATGGAGTGTGTAGACGCTGGGACAGCAGCTCCTTGATTTGGCTGAAGAACATGGACGGTCTGCACCAGCTGTTCTGCTTGTTTTCCATTGCCGTTCAGCCCGGGACTCATCTCTCTCTTCACTGACTTCACCTGCATGCTCTTCCCATGTGCACGTGATGAACCGCGGCCCACTGCCCGTCCGTGAGGAGTGGACCGTTGCCCTCCGTAGCCAGAACTGGCGTCGTCCCCTTGGCTATCATCCTCATCAATAATGACCAGATCTGAGGGCATCTCCTTAAACTGGTAAACAAGCCTCTGTCCTTCAACCTTGGCCAGTATACCCCTCTGGTAATAGTACCTAAAAGAGAGCGAGAGGAAGTAGGAGGTCAAGAAAAGCAATTCCTCTGGCATGATTGGTCCCTCTGGGTGAAGTGTTTGTAACCATTGGCTCACCTGAGTGCTCTGCCCATGGTTTCGTAGTTCATATCAGGCTTGTTTTTGTGCTTGCCCCACAGCTTGGAGACAGCCTTGGAGTCCACCAGCTTAAAAATGCCCTTCTCTCTCTGCGTCCATTTGATGTATTTGGGACAGGTGTTTTTGTCTTGCAGCAAGGCCAGGAGGAACTCCCACAGGTAGATAGTGTTACCTACAAGAATAAGGGTCTTTTAAAATTTTAGACTTATAAAAAGCTTAAACCCCTTTTATATTTCACACGTGATTCCACAGGTCTTATTTAACAAGCCGAATTGGCAGAGGTGCAATTATTGTATTATTTCTCATAAGCTTAAATAAATAAATTCTCCCTTCATGGTAACCCTACAGCTAGAAATTAATTAGAGGGGCCTGGCACTAGATTATTCTTGTTTGTCGTGTGTTTTGGCCAGAAGTGGTTAAAAACAGCTACTCTGGCAGTGGGAGCCGGAGAGAGAACAGACCGGCGTGTCAAGGTGATGTATATGTATGCGGCCGGCCTCCTCTCTGAGCTCGGAACAGGACGCATGCATAAGGGACCTCTATCAGGACAGCATCTATGTGCCCTCCAGCTCGCTATCACTTTTAGTTCCCTCACAAACGCAGCACTTTGATACCACCTCATCAATTAAGCAGCCACAGCACTGCCAGCAAAGCCCCGGTAAGAGCAACTCATGACGCATGCGGGAGACAGAGAAGCGATAGTTTAGAACTTTTTCTCCTTTACTACCGTGCAGCGGTCCGAGGTCATGCTTACCTTTGCCCTCTTTGCTCTTTTTCTTCAACGGGAGAGTTGGATTGGTGATAGGAGAGCAGGGCCGCACTGGTCTTGGTTTGCGCACTGCAGGATGATTGCAAGAAAATAGTTACCTCTCAGACTGTCAGAGTAACTAAATATGTTAATTAATTCTAAAATAAAATACAAATCATATAAATAAAAAATCTGATGTATTTGGTTATCTTTTGAACATTTTTATATTCTCTTGTCTCACCTTTCGTTTTTTAATATAACGCCGTAAAAAATAAAAATAAAAACGTTGAGGTGTACATTGCCTTCTACTGGAGAATTTTGGTACCTTTGCTTTTCCTGGCAGGCTTGGAAAGGTTCCTTTGAGGGATCTCATCCACGGAGGATGTCTCATCATCCAGGGGAACATCCATGCAGCCGTTTGAGAGCTGCTCTGGACGCAGGGAAATGTAGGTCAGGTCTGATTCCAGGATGTTCCCATATGTGTGAACTACAGAAAGGTAGAGGTCAAGTATGAGTATGTGTTTATAATTCTGTTTGCTTAAACACAGGCAGAGCTGAAATGAGAAATAGTATCAGTATGTGCTAACTGACTGAAGTATGCTGCGTTTTTTAAGAAGTCTCCCCACAAACATTTCTAAAAAGAAAAAAAATAACAGCACTACGTAAACCGAAAATGAGTCATCACATACTCATGCGTTTCTCATCCAGGATGTTATTGGGAGATTCCATGTTCAGTAGGGCCTCAGCCGCCTCGATAGTCTCCATATTGTCCTCTCCACTTGAGACAGAGGTCTCTACTGTGGACAGAACATATTTCCATCAACTGACAAACACTAAGTTAGTGTTCCACTATCATGGCTTTCACTTAAAATGTGCTTGGCAGTAGTTTTCTGGGAGAAAAATTTAAAGAACAAATAGATAAAGTGATTTGTGAAGCTGTCCATTATGGTTAAACAGAAATATTTTGAAATCAATACTTTTATGTAGGATGCATTAAACTGATCAAAAGTGACAGTAAAGAAAAATCATGGATTCCACAAAAATCTTTAAAAAAAAAAAGCAAAACTTTTTTCAACACTGATAATAATAAGAAATGTTTCCTGAGCAGCAAATCAGAATATTGGAATGGTTTCTGAAGGATCACGTGATCACGTGAAAAATTACATCTTATAATGAATATATTCAAATAGAAAACCATTATTTTAAATTGTACTTCATTTTGAATATTTGGCAATTTTACTGTTTTTACGGTATTTTGATTAAATAAATGTAACCTTGATGAGCAGAAGAGACTTCTTTCAAAAACACCTCAAACTTTTGAACAGTACTGCATATATACTGTATAAACAGTGTTGTGGATTGTTTCAGGTGCAATGCACATTTTCATGAGAAAAAAAAATATCATGCCACCAATAATTGGGATCACTTATTGGACTCACCAGAGAGCCCCACATCTCCCATCATGCTCTCTTCCACCACATCCTGAATGGCATCCACCATGATGCCATTAGTCACCTCATCTGCCTCTAGTCCAGAGTACACCTGCATGAGGTCGGCAGCGGGCACCTGCTCCACGATCACCGCTGGGAACACTGAAGGGTCGTCCAGCTGTGGGAGAACAAACAGAGAGATAAATGTGCCATTGATCTAAAATCAACCGTCGTGCGATGCTTTCAGCGGAAAGGCAGTAAAGAGCACCATAATTGCTTTAAAACACATACATTTGCCCCTTCCCTGCAGATGAAAGCTTCTAATCCACAATCGTCCAGGTTACTTATATTCACAGAGGCTGCAACTAATGGCCCATTCATAATGGCTCTAACCTGAGCTGGTTCAGTCACTTGGTTTGACTCTCAATACGTGACAGCATAACAATAAGGCCTGAGACGAGCCTGTGTGGTATTAATGACGTAAACGCAAATGTACCACAGTTCCAGTAAGGTTCTTATACACATGACACTGTTTGCTCCCAGGGTCATGAGCTTCATGCCAAAAGCACCATTTCAGGCTTTCTCATTTCCACCAGCATTCCTAAGCGAGGGTGGAGATCACGTGGGGGGAAAGAGGAAATAGTTGGTGCTGGACTCTAAAGCCACAAAAGACTGTTCCTCATCCCCACCACAGTCAACACGGCCAAAATATACCATCATACTTAATAAACAATGTCTTTCTTCTACCCTTTAAGTTTTCCTACTCTTAAAGGTGGTCTAGATGAGCAATTTGAAGGGCTTTCCTAAAAAAACAACTCCATTTCCAGGGAAAACTGGTGTTGAAGACAGCATCACTGAGTAAGGGACACTCTGTCTGTCTGTCTGTGTCTGTGTGTGTGCGTGTGCGTGTGCGTGTGCGTGTGTGTGTGTGTGTGTGTGTGTGTGAGAGAGAGAGAGAAAGAGAGAGAGAGAGAGAGAGAGACCAACCGGATCTCATTAGCCGGATAGCAGCTCTCATTAGGCCTCTGGCAGGCGATATGTGCAAACAAGGCAAAACGTGTCAGATATGAGTGAACATTGACAGAGCGGGAATAATTCAAGAGAAACTGCAGTCTGATCAAAGTCTAGTGACCTTTATTCTGACACTTGTTAGAGGACCGCTTAAATTATGCAACTGTTCATTGTGAGCTTGACAAGTGACTGCCTTCCTTAAGGACTACATTTCATGATTTATTCTGCAATTTTTTTAAATTACCGAGAACACATGCACGCATGTGTCTGTTGTGTTGTATAACCATTAGGTGGCAGCAGAATGCAGTTTATCACCTTTCCAGTTGTGCAACTGTGTGAAGATGAGCAAAACAAGAACAGAATGCAAAGACCATTCCTGGCCAAAGACAATAATCATACACACGCACAAAAATGAATAATATTTAACAATAACTGATCAGTGTACTACAGTACTTCAGGGATGCTTGAAATATTGTCTCTTTGCAAACAAGATTGTGAAACACATAAGCCATCTCTTCCTTTGGCAGGATTTTCTGTTTTTGTTCCATCATCCTTGGACTATTTGCTGTTGTTATGGCATTTTCCCCAGAGACTCGATGGGTTTGGCTTTCAAATCTCAGTTCAATGCCAGAATAATTCATTCAGTACAGTTTAACACAAGCTCTAAACTACTAGAAACAGATTCAATAGCGACACTTGAAATTACCTACCGTTTAATTTGGATATACACTACCATTCAAAAGTTTGGGTCTGTAAGATTTGTTTTTTAAATGTTTTTGAAAGGTGTCTCTTATGTTTACCAATTCTGCATTTATTTGATTAAATACAGTAAAAAAAAAAAAAAGAAGTAATATTGTAAAATAATCTTGCAATTTAAAACAACTGTTTTTTGTTTACTGGCCATCTAGCCCAAGACCCTACACAGAGTGCATGATAGTAAAATGTCATTTATTCCTGTAATGGCAAAGTTTAATTTTCAGCAGCCATTACTCCGGTCTTCAGTGTCACATGATAATTCAGAAATTATTCTAATATGCTGATATTATCAATGTTGACAGTTGTGCTGCTTAACATTTCTGTGGAAATTTTTTGCAAGAGTCTTCAATAAATAGGAATTTCAAATCATCTGTTCATCTGTGTACTAAGAGAAGAGTTTTAACTAGGCTAGACAGACAATCTGTGAATCCCACAAGCCCTGACTGCTTAGTAAGCAGGAAACGTAGTCTTGCTCTGTGCATTTGTCCATGTCCTCCCTCCCGCCCTGCCATACTGGGGAACTACAGACATCAGATATCAGGATTATGCAAAAAACTTTGGTGATCGGTTTACATATTCTCTCTCATACTGCCTGACAAGTAAATGCAAAATAGCAGAACATATCTGTATAGTCTATACAAAGTTAAAATTCAATGTCTTGCATAAAATCCATGCTATTTGTCATCAAACCAATTTATGATGTAATAAACATGGCATAAAAATCAGCTGAATAGCTCTGCCCTAATAAATGTAAGATTGTAATACTAATACAGCTCTTCATATGCCAATATCTCAATCTTGCACATTAGTAAAAAGAGTAAAGCTTCTGTTTAAAAAAAAAAAAACGGAGACTGCCATAAACCTGTAACATCCTTTTTTCCCACAATAATCAACCACATTTCTAAAAGGGAAACATCAGATAAAGAGCAGTCATTTGCATAGCTGAGTTCCGTGTTCCTACTGTATGCATAAACCCGATAGCATGCGGCGTGTTTTACAGTTACACTCTCTTCTGCTTTACCTGACACCAGTTGTGATACTAACCCACTGATGCAATCTAAGACCCTCACTTGCAATGTCGGAGACAAGTTCTTGGATGATTTCCAAACACTGTGTACTAAGCAGGTGTCACGAGACAGCTTTTTAGCAATAAATAAATTGACCACTATAGAAAATATAGAAAAGGTGATTTAATATACTGTGTGGATGCACCAATACAGTTGATTCCATGATATCAAGTAAAAATGCTTTGATACCAAAAAAGCAATTGTTGCATAAAGTTCACCACACAAAGAAACACTGGCAGCCAAACTACATGTAAGTGGATTGAAGAAATTTTGACATACACTGCCGTTCAAAAGTTTGAGGTCAGTACATTTTTTAGAAGTCTCTTATGCTCACCAAGGCTGCAATTACAGTATTTGACAAAAATACAGTAACAACTGTAATACTGTGAATCTTTCAGAAATGATTCTAATATGCTGATTTGGTGGTTAAGAAACTTTTCATATTATTATCAATGTTGAAAACAGTTGTGTTGCTTTAATTTTTGTGGAAACCATAATTCTTTTTTTTTCAGGTTCATTTATGAAAAGAAAGTGCAAAAGAACACTATTAATTTGAAATAGAAATCTTTTGTAATATTATAAATGTATTTACTGTCTATTTTGATCAATTGAATGAGTCCTTGCAGAATAAAGGTTGTGCTCGTTTATACAGTAGCGGTGAGATGTTTGATTACAGTTAACAAAAGCTCTACGTTGTTGTACACAAAATTACTTAACTGGGAGTTGTCTGTTTACTAAACTAATTATGCCAACTGATATGATTCCTATGTTTGGTATCTCTCACCCAATATATTTTTATGCTTTAAAATAATTGAAGAAAGTGGTAATCAAGTATTTTAATTTTAAAATACTATGGTGATCAGTAGCATCCTGTATTTGATATAATCACTAGTGGAATTAAAGGTTTATTAAATATCACCCTCAAATGATAGTCTCATTGAAAAATTAGAGCATTACTAAATTAGAGTATTACTAAAAATACAAGTATCGGTATCAGTGAACCAAACCAAGTGTCAATATTTGCACTCGGTCTCTAAAAAATTACCTGTGCATCCCTATTTTATACCACCCTACAACTAATTAAACTTACATGCACAATAATTTGCAGATCAAAAATCAGCCCATTCTGAAAACCTGATGATGCAAGAAAACCTTGTTCACACAGAAATTATTTTGTTTTGACATCAACAGTCATTCACATGAGACATGCATACTGAATAAGTCACTAGAATGTAGGTAAAGGCGTTTACATACCGAGTGACCTAGTTGTGCCAGTTGTTTTTTCCTTTTTGCTTAAAAAGTTTGCAATCTTTAGCAGACGTTTGTAAGACATTATGCTATACAGGTGCATCTCAATAAATTAGAATGTCGTGGAAAGTTCATTTATTTCAGTAATTCAACTCAAATTGTGAAATTGTGTATTAAATAAATTCAATGCACACAGACTGAAGTAGTTTAAGTCTTTGGTTCTTTTACTTGTGATGATTTTGGCTCACATTTAACAAAAACCCACCAAAATAAGATAAGCAGTGTAAGATTGTGCACTCAGTGACTCTCAGTGGGAATCTGGATCTAGTACACAACTGCTATTGTGTGCAGTAGCTGAACTCTGACACGGTGGCTTAATATCATTTCACTCACATTACAAGACGACTTGAATTATGGGAGTAATTATTGACTCTAGGTTCAGCACAGCTAATCATTACAGTCCACACAGGCAGCTGAACACATTTCACAGCACTCGTGTGTGGAAAACCCTGCACATGCAGTGAGAAGCGACAAGATTTGTTTTGCACAGCCTCCGAAAAAGCAGCTCTATTGTTATTAGTGGGAGTCAAAAGATATCTGAGACTGTCGGGCGACTGGTAGAGCTTATTTATGATGGTGTGGTAATACAGTGGGGGGATTTAGGGAGTGACTTAGAAGCCAGTGTCGTTTCAAAACAATAGTAGATTTGTGGGTGGAACAGGACTTGTCTCCTATGCTGCAACAAGTTGAGCAGGTTAGGCCTGAATCTAGCATTCAGTTCTCTTTCGGTCTGTAAGAGAAGAGGCATGGGATTCGATAGAAGACTTGTCACACCTGAGCCATTCACATGACTGTACAAACACACTTAAGATGAAGATCAGAATTCTGGAGTCATCTGAACTCAGACAGAATATACACAGAACAAACCAAAACACACAAGCATGACAGCATGCTTGCATCCGCACATACTGTAGAGTGGCCTAAAAAGTATTTGGATACTTTTGCCACAATTAAAAATGTATGAATGTATGTGCATGACCTAACAAAAATATAAAAAGAAAAGTAAATAAATGTAGCACAAGCACATGTCTCGGTCACAAAAAACTTTGTTAGGTTTCAAAATATGAAATGATAAATACACTACCATTCAAAAGCTTGGGGTCAGTAATAATTTTTTTAAAAAGATATTAATACTTTTTATCAGCAAGGACACAAATCAATCATGTTTAATGTTACAAAATATTTATGTTTCAAATAAACGTTATTTTGAACTTTCTATTTATCAAAGGAAAAAATGAAGAAAAAAAGTATCAGTTTCCATAAAAAGCACCACAAATGCTTTCAGCAATGTTAACAATAACTAAGAAATGCATCTTGACACCAAATCAGCAAATTAGAATGACTTCTGAAGGATCAAGTGACACTGAAGGCTGGAGTGCAAAAAAAAATCAGCTTTGCATCACAGGAATAAATTACATTTTAAAATAAATTCAAATATGAAAAATTGTAAAATCATTTCATAAACATACTTGCTTTTATTGAATAAATGCAACCTCGGTGAGTATAAGAGACTTCTTTCAAAAACGAAAACAAAAAATCTTACAAACTCCAAACTTTTGAATTGTAGTGTATATTGTTCAAAAACATTGGCTGTTTTCTGGTCAAGCTTTGCTGAACATGTTTACTGTGCGAACTTGTAGAGAACTGACATGACTTAAAACACAGTTTGACTTGAAACAGTGACCTCTGGACCAGTTGGTAAAAAAAAAAAAAGAGTTTAAAAAATGGCTCAGAAAAGTGAAGTTCTCAAATAGCTCCAAGCAGCATTTGTTTGCAGATTTTTTTGGAGGGTCACTGTATGTAACATAATTAGGTGTCTTGAGGCTCAAATGCTACCTTTATTCCCAACCAGGTTTTCGTAAAAGAATACTGTACAAACACACTGAGTTCATACTGACTGGCTATTCCTACACCTCAGTCTTTCCATCTGTGCCCTGCCAGCAACACACACAGTCATCTCTCAACACTCTCCTTGCACTCTTAATTTTCCACCTTCCTCCCTCCCTTCCCCTCATGCCCGGCATCAAAGGCGCAGACCTCCAAAAACCCATATCCCCTCCTTGAGACCCGGCCTGTGAAGCTGGATGGACAAAGACAGTACCTAAACATAAAGAAACCACAAGTTTACGTGCCTAATAACAAAGATTTCTGGCACCAAAATGTTTTTACGGTTTTCAGGTCAACGATGAAGGGCGGTTCATAGTCTGATAACACAGAAAACAACAAATGTGACTGCGATGTACCTGATTGATTTCATCCATCCCATTACTGGCGAACTCAAAGACAAGCTCGCTGGACTGGACCGCAGTGGTCATGGTGTTGTAGGGAGAGAAAGGGTAGGACACAGGCTGACAGGCAGAGGGTTCCTACCCCTCCACGCACTCCCCGGACCGCTCCACACCACACCCCTCGGCACAGGAAGCACTCTGAGGCAGGAACACTGCTGAGGTAATCTGCTGCTTTCACAAAATGAGAGGCACTGTTAGGCAAAAACAGAGTTCCCTTTTTTGGTCCTGCACGCTTCTGGGGGGTGGGGGGGGGCTGGGTCTCCAGATCCTGGACAGAGTGGCAGAGGACTACGTGACTGCGTGATGGAGGAGGATCCTTCTCACTCCAACTGCGTCTGGGGCATCTAAACCTTCAAGAAAGAAACAGAGGAAAAGGAACATTAGGAAACAGCGACTGAACAAAATGGGCTGTGTCACATTATTAGAGAGAGAGAGGGCTGGGATGGCCTGACGAGCCAGAGACGGTACCGTTGGGACTGAGGCGAGGGGCTAATTTTCTGACTCTATGAAGCGTTAGCTCACTGCTGGAGAGACTTTCTGCTCACCAATCCCATTCTTGGCTTCAAACGCACAAAGCTGCCCCAAAGTCAGACTCTGAGAATGTCTGGCCAGGCATAATGAAAATGGCCGAATGGAAAACACAATCCACTTCCCAGCAAATTCATCACTGGCCACTTAACTTTTTCTCACTTTGACTCCAGTTTACCCTCTGAGATCACAACAATACAACTGTTGCATTGCTCTGTCACTCTATATTCACTAGGGATACACAATATATCAAGTGTTACATCAGTTATCATCCAATTATTTAAAAAAAAAAACGAAATATAATTTTTATATATTTAAAATACATTAAAATATATTTTTTTAATTAAATACTTAGCCAATAACTATATGACGCTGATAATTAAAACTGTATTAGAATTATTTTTTTAAACATTATTTAAAATAATTTTAAATAACAGTTTAAATATTATTTTAATTAACTTCATTATTTAATTAACTTTATTATTATTATTATATATTATAATTATTTTGTTGTTGTTGATAATTTGCTTTAAAAATCACATTTTAAAACTCTGATGTGCAAAGCCATCAGAACCGAACCGAACTGAAAACCGTGGTTAATAAACTGAGGTATGTACTGAACCGTGGGCATATATATATAAAGCACTGTTAATCTCCCAATAAATATTTTTTTCCAGCTTATAGGTATCAGATAGAATTTAAATATTGCTATAGTAATAATACCATTCACACTATTCTTTCTGCAGATAATCAACATAAATCAACAAAAGCTATGAGACAGCTGGTCTACTCTACTGTCATTTTGAATGCCTGGTTTAATTCGTCAAGGTTCAGATGTAATAAGTGAACCTCTTCAGTGGCAGTGTGGAGGAAGGGGGAGGGCATGGATTGCCACAGGATATGAGATCAGCCAGCCTGATCAAAGGGGTACTGTAAACAAGGTTGTGTTATCAGTCACTCGAGTAAAAAAAATGGCTCAGAACACACCCTCATCCAAAGTCCACATCCACTCCTCACACTGGAGCCAGCTAAACTACAGAAACTCAAAAACACAAGAATCACAGGGCCGGACAGAGGGTACTCTTTTCTCTCAATGGCCTGAGGCAGCAAGGAGGAACAGGAGGGGCTGCAGTCTGGTTAAAGATTAAACGAGAGCAGTGGGGAAAGGAGAGGTGGTTTGGCCAAAACACTGAAGGGGGGTGTAAAATGGCAGCGGAGCAGCCCATGTCTCCTCTGTGGCAGGGTGGGGCTTGTTTGCTTTGAAAGGACATTGTGTGTGTCAACAAGTGCATACCAGGTTGAATGGTGTCTGGGGGGTTAGGGTTGCTCTTTAAAGGAGTATGATGGGGGCAGATAAAGAGAATAGGAAAGATAGGCCCGTGTGGGTGGCAGGGAGGTCAAACAAATGTTCTGTTTAGTTCGGACTGTGCCCAAGGCCCCCGTAGCAGCTGGAGTCCCATACTCAACATGGGGCCTCGTGCGGCCTTGTCTCTCCAGGAGAGCGTGGAACAGGATGAGGTATGCCAGAGAGGCCCAGCCTATTATTGCCACTAACCAGACGGCCCCCCCCAAGAGCCCTTCGGCCCTGCCTCCTTTCCACAGCATGGGGCCAACATCTGGAGCACCCCGCTGAAGGTTCCCTCTCCCTGCTTTGGTCAAGACAAGCTCTTTGAAACAATTATGTATTTTCTTGCCACCACAATGCTCTGGGAGTGGTCACGTGGTTGCTAGGGCGTTCTGGGTCGTTGCTATGGGTTTACGTCAAATCAAAAGAGCCCATCATCAAGTCTATTTGATGATCTGGTAGGGTATATTAAAAGAGACATTACAATTATATTCTATTTTTTTAAGTCGCTAGAGTAAAAATAGTAATATTGTGAAATATTATTACTATTTGTAACTGTTTTCTATTTTAATATATTTTAAAATATAATTTATTACAATTTTCAGCAGTCATTACTCCAATCTTGTCCATGTCATGATCCTTCAGAAATCAATCTAATATGCTTATTTGATGCTCAACCAAGATTTCTTGTTATTATAAATGCTGAAAACGGTTGTGTTTTATAGTTTTGTGGAAACTGTGTTAATTATTTGATGAATAGAAAGTTCAAAAGAATAGCATTTATTTTAAATGGAAATCTTTCGTAGCATTATAGATGTCTTTACCGTCACCTTTGATCAATTTAATGCACCCTTGCTAAATAAAACATTTGAACGGTAGTGTAGACCAATACAATAACTAGAAAAAAATCTATTTATTCAGCTGATGCATCATGTATCTCTAAATTCTGTTTTTTTTTCTAGATCCTCAGGTCTCTCTATCAGTGTCAAGGTAAATCTATGGTGTATTTTAGAGCATTTTCTCTCAAATAAAAATACACTTTTTCTCAATAAACCACACAATTTGAGGTATCGCCCATATCTGTAGCATCAACAGTGCTAGAAATGATAATCACAACTATAGTGATACCCCTGGCAAAATAAGACCACACACACAGAGTGGGTCATGCCTACCTCTGCAGTCTGGGAAAGCACTCGCCCATGAAGTCTACGTAGCGTTAGACAAGGGTCAGAAGTCGCCAAGCGAGAGCATGGCTGAGTTCTGCCTCCTCCTTTACAGACTAGCTCAAAATGGCCTCATGTCATTCTCAGTTCTTCTTTTAATTTCAAAAAGTTCTCTGTACCTCAAACTGCAGCTGCGTACGCGGTAGCCAAAGCTCGCAGCTTGAAATTATATTAGACAATCTTGCCATGGTCTACAGCCCTGCTTTTGAGTAATGAAGTCATTCACACCATTTGACGGTGATGTGCTGGCAAATGAAAGCATGATATGGGATTGATGAGAGCATTTCACACAGAGAGATGAGCCTGGTGGGGAGCAAAATCGTGCAAATCTGTGATTGCGTGTATCACGCCGCTCTCCACGCTGATTCCCAGCGGTATATAACGAGACCTCGTACCGTGCACATGGCGACTGGCGAGTGATCTACGCCACTGTAACTGCAGCCTGGGAATGATACAAGTGGATGTGACAACACTTGCCTTGTCCCAACACATGCACATGCAAATGGGCCAAAACAAGGGCCTGCCACACGTCATCCAGAGGCGCCGAGAGGGAGGGAGTGTTACTCAATACTCAAGACTTCAGTAAGCAAACACTCTCCAGGGTGGGGCTCGCATGGAATCACTCCATGACTGAGGTCTGTCAAGAATACACACTCAGCAAGAAAGGTAAAACTATGATGTGTACATGAAAAACGTCCGTTCAAGTCTCTAATTGTCCTGATGCAGCAGCTGGTACAGGTCTGGCAAAGCGCCTAGTCTGTGTTATCAAAACAAGTAAAGATATAGCAAGACGCTGACTAAAATGTTAAATGGAATAACCAGTTTTGAGGGGAGAATGATTACGAACAAATACATCTTACCCTGTTGACCCTGTCGACCCACCCGCCCCTGTAGAGTCCTCAGCTGAGCTCAGTGTTGACCATGAAAGGAGGTCATTTAAGCCAACCGAATGACTAAGCCATGAGTCACCCTGCAATGGAATTTAATCACAGAGCAAGAGAATTCAAACATGAATGATCAACTAATGTAGGTGAGTGGTTTGATGGGACGCTCATGGATTCAAGATGTGGTATGATCATGAGATGCCATATTCTGATGATATCACAGGGATGGATGGAGATGGAGGTTTTGGAGAGGGCGAAGTCATCTCTAGTTACACTGTGGGGAGTGATGTCATGGCAATAATGATGTCAACGTATTTGAGAAAAACTTGTCTAGAGTGCCTCTCAAAATAGCTTGGGATACTAGGGCTTTCGGAGAGATACTGACTAAGGGAAAGCGAGAGGAATGTGAAGCTCTTTTCCTGCTTGGTCAGGAAGGAGGACTGGCATTCCTGGCATTTCAGAACATGCCAGTCTCGAGCGTTTCAGCAAAACCACACTCCACAATGCTGGCTCCACCATATAAATATGACATAAAAACACCTCCAGTGAGCTAGTGAACATTTATGTCTTGTGAGACATCTGAAGGCTTGTTCCCACCTTTCGATCAATATGGAGGACAAAGCCTCTTTCAACAGGATCATCTGCTTGACTCAGCAGAACATGGGTGTTTTTAGCTTAGTTCCTGTGAGGATATGACACTTCAACTCAAGTAAAGTCCTGTAATGCTGCGATAATGAACTTAGGGCCGTCAGAGGGACATAAACAAACTCATCTATTCAACTATAATATGGTCACGATCGTTTAAACAGCCCTGACAGAAGCTACTATCCTGCTACTGCTTTATATCCAAGTGATACCAATTCTATCAAATATTCAACGGAGTTGTTTCAATTGTTAAAAATAACAATTTTGACTAATATGCTAACACTCTTCTGTTGAAAGATTAAATATTAATACACACTACCGTTCAAATATTTGGGGATGGTAAGAATTTTTTTTTTTTTCTTTTTTTTTTTTCTTATGTTCACCAAGGCTGCATATGTTTGATCAAAAATACAGTCAAAACAGAAATATTGTGAATAAACAATAAATAGAAATAAACTGATTTATACTTTAACATATATTAAAATTAAATTAATTCCTGCGACGGCAAAGCTGTATTTTCAGCAGCCATTATTCCAATCTTCAGCGTCACACGATCCTTTAGAAATCATTTGGTGCTCAAAAAAATATTGAAACAATAGGTGTAAATATTACCAAATTAAATTGGCAACATCAAAACAATGCTACATGTAATAATGAAATCATTTAAGGGCAATGATTGGTTTTCTCTTTTTTCTATTAATATAATTGTACTTTTGACAAATTTT